AAACTGTAAAGCTTAAAGGACATTCAGAGAGAGTGGAAACTTTAAGATCGCATTGAAACCAATAAACAAAAACTGTATGGGTTACTATGGTTTTATGTCTCGTCTTGTGTTTCAGTGCAACTTAAACTCAGCAGGTATTTACATCTGTTTGCTTCTCTCCTGCTCTCTGGGCTCAAACATGCTGCATTTCAGTACAGCGGAATTACCAATAAAGCTGTTTTCAGTTTTGTTTTTTGTGTTTCTATGGTCAGACAACAGAATGAGTATAAAATATTGACTGAAATTCAGCCCATTGAGTCTACATGCTCACGTTTAGTCACTTCAGAGGCATTTTCAAGCTGCGGCTCTGCAACACTAAACTATTGATTTTATAACCACAGTGTTGTCTGATAAACTCCCCAAACATATGAGTTAAAAAATACAACTGTGCAGTGAATTTGGTGATATTTCCCAGAACTTTTGAAATCCTAAAAGGTATGGGTAAATTGTATGTTATATTTACAGGATTTATAATTTATTGTTTCCAGTGTGGGGAGGACCTGAGCAGATGACTGCACCTGAAGAGGTTTTGCACATGACTCTGTGGCGCAACAGTAGCTCGTCTGACTCTAAATCAGAAGGTTGCTTGTCACGTCAGGGTCAATACTGTTACTTATAGCACCTTAAAACCCGCAATCATGTTGAGTGTGTAACTGCCCATGAACTACAGCTTTGAAGATATTAAATTACAAAGGCTCCTCACCATTAAGCTTACAGTAATGATGTTGCCCTATTAAAATAACATGAGTCCCCAGACCAATGTGTGGTTTGTCAGAGCACCTGCCCTCACGAATCCAAGTCCTGACTTTTATCTGCGTACAACAATGTTTGCATGCAGTGAAGGAACCTGGTTATCTAGGCCTGATTCTCACACAGCCGTGTGAGCAAATGGACACAAGCTGCAGTCAGCAGCTCAGGGAATCATGTACACATTATTCACACAGTGCAGTTACTGAATAATGGAGGGACTGTAAATCCCTACATGATATTTGTGACATCACCACTAACACCCAGCTGCCTATTCGACTATCTCTGATACTCCCTGACATGTTTACAGCACAAAATATTTATATTTATAAAAATATTTGTGACATGGTGATATATGAAATACCTTTTGAAAAATACCAAAAACATATATATATATATGTATTTAAATTCCTGTTGACCTCATAGAAATTCAAGGCTTTACTTGAATATCTCAGAAAATATTAAAGATCAACACCTGAAATTCTCACTGGGCTTTCACATCATGTCATTGATGCCACTAAGATGGAATGGCCTATAAGATGCACTTGTACCAGACTCTGTGGCGCAACGGTAGCGCGTCTGACTCCAGATCAGAAGGTTGCGTGTTCAAATCACGTCAGGGTCAAGCTTTCACTTCTTCGTACTTGAATTGCAACATAAAAGGTCCTTGTTGATTCTTGACTTTAAACGGCTCAATGGAGCTGCTTTTCTACAAGTTGCTCCTCTTTCTGATGATCTTCTATGTGAGCATGAGGACGCTTTTACAAGCCGGTGTGAACATGAGTGAAGCTACCACTGTCGTTACATTATTCTAGTGATCTACAAGTGGCCGTAACATAACATGACAAGCAGCAGTGTGCCATCAGAGGCAGGGAGGAAGAATGCAAGGCTGTAAACAGAGATATAAACAAAAGCAGGATTTATGATACTTAATAAATTGGTTTTGCAAGTGTTTTATGAGGATGAGAGTGCACTTGACATGTTTGTCAAGGATACATAAAAAGCATTTTGGCAAGTAACACCTAAAGTGTTTTTTTTTTGGTCGAGGAGGAGGAGGATATTTATGCTGCTATTTGATAGTAAAAGTGGAGGGAGACTGCAAATATGTGGAAAGAGAAAAGAGGAATGACATGCAGAGAAAAATTTGGCAGGCCTGGAATCAAACTGATGAGTACATTTGTACGTGTGGTATGCACCTTAGCCACGCCAAATCAAGGTAGCTTTTGTATCTGCACAGAGGGCATGTTATTTTACTTTGAATTACATTTACATTCAATCTTTTTTTTTTCCAAAAAAGGAGGTAAATAAAACAACAAAAACTTAGTTGTTTATGATGTGTTTATGATCTAAAAAATAAACTTTTTTATTTAAAAAAAAAAACTGAACCTCATTTTATCTGTACATGAACTATTCAATTCAATTCAATTCAAACCAATTCTATTTGTATAGAGCAGTTACTTGTTCAGTTAACTAGTCCACTTGATGATACCAAAGTATTTTGGATCGTATGGAGTGTAATTACTGAATCTTTTGCTTGTGCTTGATAGTCAAAAAATTCCAAAGGGGACATCTCTGTCCTGTTTGACTGCTGCTGTAAGTAAAAGCATCCTAAAATACATGATTTAAACACCAATCAGTCACATTATTAAAACCACTGACAGGTGAAGTGACTAACACTGTGGCACCTGTCAACTGGAGAGATATATTAGGCAGCATGTTAACACTGTTCGCAGGAAAAATGGGCAGACATAAGGATCTGAGCAACTTTGACAAGTGCCAAGTTGTGATGGCTGGATGACTGGATTCCTGCGTGTGTGTTCCTCCTCTTTATCTTGGAACTATTCGCTGCTTTAATACAAATCTTAGCTTTCTTAATTTGTATCTTTGCATGCCCTAAGCTACTTTTCTGCTGACAGATTTCATTATTTCTCCCCTGCCTGCTGCTTTTCAAAACCTTTCCAGTCTGCTGTCACCTCCTGGGGATTTCTGGTGAGGAATTGAGACCAAGAAGTGCCAAAATTAGACTAAATGAAAGCATGAAGCAGATGGCGAAGGTCTTGTTTTCTGGAAGTGGTGTTTGTGTGCTGCTACAGCCAGTTACATGGCAACATATTAATGAGACACTTTTACACATCTCAGTGACTAATTAGCTTGTGAACGGTGATATTACAGTGTGAGCACTTTCAGTTAGGAAGATGACTGAGAGTGAGAGGTGAGAAAAGGGACAGTTTAAAAAATGTTTTCGGTGTTGTGGACACAAACTTTGCACATTATGTGTTTTGAAGAGCAAAATCAATGGAGCTTTTTAAAAATTAAAATTGGACAAATACAGACAGAGAGGGAGAAAGGATGGAAGACAGAAAGACAAACTCACTGAGTATTCTGCAGATGCCAATCACAGTTTGGAAGGCAGGGCAGGAGAAGGAGGCCCGCAGCCTCAGGGTGATGCCGTTGGGCAGCCCCAGTTTTAGGGGCTTATGCTGGGGCATGAAGAGCAGCCGGGCATCGGCGTGAACACCGTACTTCTCCAGAGTCCAGGCTGTCCGCAGCAGCCACTGCTGCTTCTGCTCCCACCACAGGGCGTGGTCCGACCAGTCACGCTTGATTTCTGTGGTGGACGGACACACAAAACATCTGTGACTAACGATGGAGAGAGAGTTAATATCCATTAGTTTCAAGTCCTGATGTGTGAAATCTGTAGTTGTCGTCTTTAATCACAATGAAACTAAAAGTCTTCATTTTTTACTTTAAATATCCATTAATTTTCCTTTTAATAATGACAATTTTTAGTTACTTTTAATGGCATTTTAAGGGGAATATTAATGGAAGGATTAAAAATTCATCTCTCTTTAATGGACTTTTTGCACCACCTGTTTGAACAAAAGCCACAAAGTGAATTTTCTCTTTCAAACACATTTTTCACCTGTTAAAGTCAGAAGTGGCAACAGTACACATAAATTATTCTGCTGGCCATTAAACAGACAACTTGAAGAAATATTCTGACTTTCTTCCCTCCCACTGGTGTTTGCTTGCTCTTTAGTGCGGTACACCAGTTTACTGACTCATACAGACTCTAACAGCAGTGGATGGTGATGAAGTGCCACGTATAAATCACCCTTATTTGTTTTCTAGCTCATCACTGATGAAGAAAAACACCCCTGCTGCTATTTTGTCCAGACACTTGAGTCCTAATGCAGCTTTGGTAATCAGATAATGTCATGATGGTAATCAGAGAGCGACAATCTCCTCGCCCCTCGTGTCACTCCTTGATCCCATCACCAGTCTGTTATTGATAACTGTCTTCTACAGGCCTAATCTCATCAACTATTACTCTTTAACATTGTAAACTCTGCTCCCAGACCCCTGCGATCACAGCTGCATTTACATCCTCTCCCAAACCTTGACCATTGTATAAAATGCACTAAAAACTCCAGTACATAACTTTGAATTAGGACAAGAAAGGTTGTGTTATGATGGACGCATTGTGTTGAAATGAGTTTTTGACACTTGCATTTAAATGTATCAAATGTTAGAAAGGAGTCATCATAATGTACTGCAGTATGACAAAATCATGCACCTCGATAATAAAGCAGAATTATCACCTTTCTGACTGTGTAAACAAAGAAGAAGAAAAGAAGCCAAATGAAAGTAGAATTAATGGTAGAGCTTTTGTTTTGGATTACATTTAATTCTTACCTAATAAAATCGCCAACATCTAATTCCAGAAGGTGCTCAGTAGTGCATCAACATACTCATTCATTTTACTGATAATGTAATGATAATTATATAAACTGTTTGTCATTAATCCCAGTAGCAGTTTAGAAGTTGGTCTTGTTCACTGTTTTACCAGGAGTTTGATGAAGGATCAAAAATGTCTCAGTTATTCTCACTGATTAGTTAAACTACTGAGGAGAGGAAACAAGCCTTCTGAGTGATCAATGTTTCTTTCCAGCTCATGGACCTGAGCTGATCGCCACACCTGTCACAGCTCTACATGTGACTCTGTGGCGCAACGGTAGCGCGTCTGACTCCAGATCAGAAGGTTGCGTGTTCAAATCACGTCAGGGTCAATTTCTTTACTTCTTCATGAGAAACCTCAAAATGTTGAAGTCTGTTGTGCTCAGTCACATTACCACTGCTCAGGCTAACTCTCCACCAAACAATTACATTCATGGAAACATGCTACATGTGTGTTGAAATCAGCGATGTACGTAGTACTCTTCCTAAATTCAAGAATCATGTTACAAATATGGTTTCTTTACTTTCAGGCTGTATGGTTTGCCAACACAACATGTTTACATGAAACGCTCTTTAGGCTGGTTTTCACTAACAGTCTTCATAGCAAGACATTCCATATACTCTGAAGGTAAATGTAACCTCAGACTGAAATCATTTGTCACTAAAACTGACAATTAATATCCACAGGTTTTAAGCACTGATGTGTGAAATTTGCAGTTTTCCTCTTTAATTACAATGAGAGCGAACCTCCTAAATGTTGACCTTCAATATCCTAACAAATATAATATTATATTGATATAATACTTTGACTTTACCACCACCAGTGGTCAGTGTTTCTGACCTGAACTGATCACTGCACCTGTTGTGGCACTTCATGTGACTCTGTGGCGCAACGGTAGCGCGTCTGACTCCAGATCAGAAGGTTGCGTGTTCAAATCACGTCAGGGTCAAATTGTTTGTTTCTTAATTAGAAACCTCAA